CGCAGTTCGCGGTCTCTCACGTTGGTGAGAGATTCACGATCTAGTCTCCTCATCGCGATCCCGGTAGTACCGGGTGTCACGTCGTGACCGTTCGTGCGGCTAACGATTCCCGATCGAAGGAATGACCGCCTCGAACGGCGTGGTAGGCAGCAGCCCGCTACCGAAATGGCAGCTCGCCTTGGTGGTCGGAGCACCGGTTGCCCTCGGCCTCGGCTACATGTACTACAGGAACAGGAATAGTAACAACGTTGACAAACCGGAACGCGACAAGTTCAGGAGCGGCGCGGCCAAGGAGAACGGCGCGCCCGCCGACAAGCAGATTTCCATCGACGGCGATTGTCCACCCAAAGTGCCTTCTTCTGCGGTCGAGTCGGAGGTTGAAACCGCATGCTTTATTTGGAAGCGTTCGAAAGATTGCGAAAATCCATTTATCCGAAATTAAAAAAAAGAGGATATCTTACGCTTTTATCAACATCATTATTGGTGCCTCTTAGTTTTTAAGAAACAGAATGATAAATTTTTTTTTTTATGTACTATCCCTGTATCATTGACAGCTATAATTATACCATTAATACGTCAAAATGACGTATCATGAGTGATAATTTTTAGTAAACAGTATTGTCTGCAAGCTTTATTGAAGTAACAATGAGATTGTAATGTGTAGTTTGATAAATGGACTTTCTTGATCAATCAAGACTTTCTTAGTATATATTTATTCATTTCTCAGCTTCAATAAAATTATAGTATCTATAGTGGCATTATACATATTTTTAAATTAACATAAAATGAGAAGAAAATACTTTTGTGACCCAAGCAAATTCTTTTGTTCTAGACTCCTTTACAAAAAGCGCAGAAGTATAAGAATGCAGGAAATGTAGAGTTCAAAACGGGAAAATATGATGAAGCTATTGCTCGGTATAATAAAGCAATCGACATTTGTCCAACAGAGAATATAGAGGACCTCGCAACTTTTTATCAAAATAGAGCAGCTGCGTATGAGCAATTGGTAATAAAATTGATGATAGTAATAATAAACATGATGTGAAAATTTTACTTCAATTCATTGTTGAAATTTATGTAAATTTCGTTGTTTACACAATTGTAATTATAATTTACAGAAAAAATATAGTGCTGTGAAGGCAGACTGTACAAAAGCGTTAGAACTAAATCCAAAATATGCCAAAGCTTTGTTACGTCGGGCACGTGCTTTAGAGCAAACAGGGGACTTGGAAGCCGCCTTGGAGGATGTGACTACCGCATGTATTTATGAAGGATTTTCTAATCAAACTTCCCTTTCAACGGCAGATAAGGTCTTGGAAAAGCTTGGTGAGTTATATATTAAAAAAGTTATATATTAAATAAAATGCTGCTCATACTTTTGTAGAATTCAAAAATAGATACAGAAATTCGGTCACTGAAAATTAAAATTATTTTCAGGGAGACAACATGCCCAGGAAAATTTGGCGAACAAAAAATTTGTAATGCCAAGTAAGCATTTTATCAAAACATACATTATATCTTTTCCCAAGGATCCAGTATTTTCTAGACTTCAACATCCAGAAAATATTCCAGAGTAAGTATGGGTAGAAGACTATTTCTGATAACTTGTTGTGGTGTTAACTTTTAAAAAAATGTAATATTTGTTATCAGATTTTTCAAGAAACCATTGCAAGCGGTAAAAAATATGGAGTACGACGATGTAATACCACTGTGCACGGAAATCATTAAAGATCCCGAATTTGATACGTTACCTTCGTCTAGATTAGAGGTGTTATTATTACGAGCTACATTTTACTTACTTTTGGGCGAGCACGATGCTACAATCAAAGATTTTGAAAGTATATTGAACAGCAAAGATGCAACCGATGATGTGAGGATAAATGCCCTAATAAAAAGAGCGGCCTTATACATGCAACTTGATAATCCAGATATGACTTTCAAGGACTTTGAATTAGCCATTAGTATGAATCCAAGTTACAGCGATATCTATCATCATAGAGGACAGGTATTACACATGTTAAAATTGAGCACATTTTTTTGTCATATGCATTACCCTGGGTCTATATTAGTCGCAAGTTGATTGCAAGTTTGTTGCGACAACCAGTCTGAAATGTTAATTTTAAAATTAACAAGTTTGCGATCGACTTGCGACTAATGTAAAATCAGGATTATAAAATAACGTAATAATACTACTTTTTGTCATTTCAGGTAAATTTGCTCATGGGCAGAATAGATGAAGCTAAACGCGATTTTGAAAAGGCTGTTGAATACAATCCAAATTTCGGCATAGCATACGCGCAAAAATGTTACACGGATTATCGTTTTGCAGTGTTCAATAGAGATATAGGATTAGCCGAAGTGGCTGTGAAAGACTTTGAGAGAGCTTTGGAAAAGTATCCAAATCCTCCTGAATGTATATATTGTTATATATCGTATGCTCAGGTATGTACAACTATTTATAATATTTCTTAAGAAAAACAATTGAAATTTAAAAAAAGTAAGTGATAAATTGTTATCATTGTGTTGTACACATTTTGGTTCATTGGCAAAATTTTCAATTATTGTAGATGATGTCCGAAACTCAACAGTTTGAAAAGGCTGATACTTATTATGCTAAAGCATTAGAGAAAGACCCGGACAATGCAACTGTTTATGTGCACAGAGGCTTACTGCAATTACAATGGAACGGTAATGTTGATAAAACTGTGGAATACATACACAAAGCATTGGAATTGGATGAGAAATGTGAGCTCGCATATGAATCATTAGGAAGTATCGAAGTACAAAGGTATGTAATAGTTTAATAATTATTACATGTTGAATGTTGAAATTTTCAAAATGAACCAGCTACAATCACACATGTAACCTGCACTATGTATTATTTAAAGAAACTGAAGACATTCGAATGAAAATATTCTAAATTCATGTTTTCTTTCAGAGGAAACATAGAGGAAGCAATAAGATTATTTGACAAGGCTTTAGTATTATGTCGTACATTCATGGAATTGACACACATATACAGCTTGAGAGATGCTGCAAAAGCACAACTTAATATAAAGAATAGATTAGGTATGGACGTCATTCGTTCGTCGTCTCGATTTGTTCCGAATTCCATGTTTTAAATTATGAAAAAATTAAAATAAAAAAACTATTGTTATTAAAGAATAAAATTTTATGTTAGCACATCAATCTTAAACACGATATACGTACAGGGTATCCTAAAAACTGCAATACGCAATTTTTTTTATTACATTGCATTATTTTACATTAAAACAGTTTTAATATAATTTTCAATTTATAACAACACTTTAAAAATTAATTTTGATATATTGGATCTATTAGCATTTGATTTATGATTATAAAAAAGAATTAGTGACATAATGCACCAGTTATTGTAGATTATCTACCAGATATGTAGATTATCAAAGCTTTAAAGTATTTGTTAGCAAGTGAAGTTTGTAACTATTTAGAATTGCTCAAGTTTTACTTTGTAAGATCATGTGCTTGTGCAAATATTAAAATTTGTTGTGTAATCATTTAAGTAATTTTATGATGTTTACAGATCTTGTAATTTTTAACGAATGAAATATTTATCAATATTATTTTTGCTTAGAATACTCTATAAATACCCTATTATTGGAATTTGATAGAAATTATCTTTTTATGCAATTGCTTTTAATCAAGTTGTGTATAAAGTTTATATAATAGAAACTTTTACAAAAGCTATTCTATGATTATTCCTTACTTGATCTTGTATACAAAAAATAATATATTAATAAAATAAATATTTATACTTATGACATTTAAAATCATAAAAAAATGATGACTTAAAATTTATAACGCAATTTTGGTATTTTATGAAAAAAAATAGAGGAATTATGATCACACGCTAGTAAATAAATTCAAGATTTTCATACAATTAATGTATTTCAACATTCTTGTATTTACTTAAACATCATAAAATATGGAAGCCAAAGGATATCTTATAACAAATGCCAACATACTACTGATAATCTGAAAAATATTAATGTTATATATTTTAAATTATTAAATTTATTTTTTTTAAATTACCTGAATTATTAGTAAAATTGACGTAAGTTTTGGTTCTCTCAATGGCCCAGTCTTGATCAATACAAAATTAATCAAAGTTAGATTATTACAAGTCACAAAGCCTTCCGAGTCTTCTTCCCACTTTATTAATTTCAATTTTCGAAATATCCACATTGATAGCCTTCCTAGTAAGATAAAATGTAATTCTAAACAATACATATAATTTTTTCTTTATTAAGATAAGCTATACTATCATACCAAGTGTGCTTAGGTCTGATTTATAGAACACAGTTCTACTAGGCTCCAATTTGTCCATCTTTTCATTGTATCTGCGAATAAAATCATATGCTATGAGCAGATCTCGATAGAATTTTTTAACATAATTATTTTTTATCTCTGGAACTCACTTTGGTAATCTATGCCTAGGACACGATACAAGATGAAATAGCTGCGGTATGCTATACAGAAAATTGATTATTTGCGGAATGAAAAACAATAAAGTCGTCTTGCTGAAGCGACCTATGATACCGACGACGGCGAAAGTCATTCCCGATAGATAACAAAACGTGTCGCCTACGAAAACCTGCGATGGATACCTTGAACAAAGCATCATTATTCCTTTACTTCAACGTAACGTTCATAAATTATATAAATTCATACATATTACAAATTAAATATATACATATTTTTTTTATTGTTAAATATATTAATTTATAGATTTTTACACACGCGCGCGCGCGCGCGCACGCACACACACACACACACACACATTTACGCGAACACATTACAGAGTAGATCATTTAAGCTGCTTCCCCCCACGAATCATGCCTTATATTTCTTTTGCACATTTTATCTTATTTATTATGCAGATATATTCTTTTCCGTATAAATATAGGAAATCACAGGCATATGTGAAACATATGCAAGGCATTGCTCCAACAGGAAATTACCAAATCGAGCGCCATTGCTCTGTAACTACGAGGGGGCTACCATGATGACTATAAACACGTGGAGCTTGGGAATCGTTTCTGACTGCAAAGAGAGAGCCGCTCCTTTTCCTCGAGCTTGGCTGGCTAATTCTAGAATTAATGATCCAGCTTCTGACTTATGGGCGGGTCCGCCTCGTCCGCAGGACGGATTACTCATGCATTGCAAGGGGTGGCACATGGATACAGTTCGACGCCGCCGTAAGACGCGTGCGCTCTGCGAATAGTCACGATCGGCGAGAGTGTGTTCGTCGACGAGTACGACGGGCGGAATCGTCGGCTGCTGCGGCGCTCGGGCGTGGTTTTTCACGTCGTCGCGGTACGCGCCGTTACCCAGTTAGGGAGGAGACAAAAGGTGCACCTGGATCTCGGGGGGCACCCTTCTCCCCCATCCCCCTCCCCCCCGTTGCAGCCAGTCAGCCTGAGTCAGGCAGCGACTATCGACGAGACTAGAAGTATGCACGGTGTGGCGCGTCGCCGGTCACCGATCTTATAATCGCCGATCATCGTGCAATTGCCGACGAAATCGTCAGAATCGGCATATCCGGCGATCAACAGGCACAGCGAATTAAATGGCACGTTGCGCCGCAGTGACGTCACCATACCGTCATCTGGTGAGATCATCATCGAAGGCGTCGTCGTCGTCGTCGTCGAATCGCATTGTGAGCGACGCTTTATTATGTAATATAGTTGTGGGCAATGACACGCGTGCGGGGCGGAGGCTGCCGGGACGTTTAACTCGCGCGGAATCCAATTGGCCGACGGTGTACGTTCCCTGCAATGCAGCGGATCGGCGACGATGCCGCTTAGCTCGCATGACTGAAAAAAATATTGTATGAATGATAAATCAGGGAGATATATATACGGGAAATTTAAGAAACGTCGTATCGAGAAATGAGGTCAACGAATTTCTCGCGTTCAACGTGATGATCTATAATCCGCGAATTTCAGGATAAATTTCTTCTTTGATATGTGTACATACGTATGTATTGTAATATATAGTACATACGTATGTAATATGCATTTCGTATACGCGTATGCATTCCGATTCTTCAATTGTTCTCTGCACGGCACATACAATTATAAATAGAATTCCATCCTGAATTTTAAAACGAGTTATAGATCGTCTAGAGTGGGTTTTAAATAGAAATACACGCTGTAGAATGTTGTGGATCTCTTTAACGAAAAAAAAAAAATCGAAAATTAATAAAAATATAAATTTAAGTTACTGATTACGTTTTCAGATGATACTCATAAGACTGTAATTTCAACGAAGATGTCTCAGACAGCTAACAAGATTTCTCTTCAGGAACGTAAGATGAGAAATTGAACTATCTGAGTGTAGGGATCGGTGCCATGCAGGTCCGTCTAGATGGGAAACTGGCGTTGCTGTATACTCTATTGATCTTGCAAGTTCTGATTGTTATGATCTATGTCGCCACAACTCCGCCGCCCGAGCTAGCTGCATCTACGACTCGTGCATCCGTCAGTTTCGTCAAGTTTGAAGCATCGCAGGTGCTGCGAATTTGTGATTGACCATGTAAATCGATGTATTTATTCGAAATACTCTAGAACTAATTTTTTTTTAATTGAAGGATCTGCACGTAAATCAGGGCAATCGTAAAAAATCACCAATCTATCAGACAATCAATGGGGAGGTAGCGTTGAAAGATGTCAAGACATTTAGACTGTTTGAAATATACAATCATACTGTATGCTGGAAATATGGAGTGGATCAGCGTAAAATGAAAAGCAATGAGCATCTGGAAAGATGTATCTGCAATCAAGGATGGCATGGCTTGGATTGCGGTCAACCAGAAGTCGTGTGGAGGGCAATCATGGCGTCGAAGCAGAACGTTAGCCTGAAACGTCGCAAAACTGCCAGGCACATTATTCACACCTTTTTTATAAGCGACTACAACTCGGCGATCGCTGAGGTGATAGTGGAGGAACTCTACAACGTGGTGGACCTTTTTGTAATTTGTGATTTCAATAACGCGGAAGATAATTTCCGGCACAAACTGTCCAAAGGACTGCTACAGCGAGAGCAGAAGAAGATTCTGTACATCAACGTGGCGACCAAGTCCCATAAACCATCCCGGATAGTATCGAGATACGTTTGGGATAAAATCAAGACTGTGGTGCAGAATCTAAAGGACGACGATATCTACGTGACAATGGAGCCAGAGCAGATACTGAACTCCAGAGCATTAATGTTCCTCAAAGTTTACGACGATTGGCCTCAACCCATCGGATTTAGATTAAGATGGTCAATATACGGCTTCTTTTGGCAGCATCCGCTCAAGACAACGATCACACTCGGCGCATACACCGTCGGTTTGATGCGCAATGCCTATCAATCCAACTCGCTTGTATTGCGACAACAGTTGGACGGAGACACCAGCGAGAGAGATATTTTGGGATTAGTCATAGGAGATTTGAATCATTACGGTGGGTGGTATTGTAATCTATGCCAGGCACCCGCAAATATTATTATCGGTCTTCGCAATAAAGTTCAGTCTAAGGAGATTTATATCGAGAAGACTATCGATGTGCCGTTTGTAGAGGACCTAATAGGTAGCGGACTGTGGTTGGACGGTAAAACCAATCTTCTGAGAGTCTCTAAGTCTAGGGATTCCTACTTCGCGCCAGAAACGATTCTCAATAACACGTGGAAGTACGACTGGTTGGTAGAGAATTTTTACGCTAAACTAGATTACTACTGACGTACTGGTCGCACCCGACTGTGATATTAACTCATATTCAATACTCAGTGTATACTAATGTAATATTATACTAAATTTATACACTAAAATATTACGTTGACAAAATATAAATGTTAAATGGTTTATACATACAACTTATACGCCTAGCAATTTGAAGCTCCCCTTATCCAAAGAGATTCCTTTTTTCACGTTATATATTATCACAATATTATTATTATTATTAGTAATATTTCAGAATAAAAATACTTTTTAGTCCAACTTACCAATTAAATTTGAATAATGCGAGGGAAGTTGCTATATAAGGCAGCATAAAATATATTGAAAACTGGTGCGCTTTCCATTGACTGCCAAATAACTCGATTATGTTGAAGATGAGAATACTCATGGCGATGATTAAACTTTGTCCAACCTCCAAACCGTTTATCCCGGCTAATATATTTATAGCGTTTGTACAAAACACTGCTAACATTCCCATATATACATAGTAAAAAATCCATAAATCCAACGAGAAACCAAACCACGATCTCAACGGCTTTGGTACAATGATTATTGTGGAGTTAAAGTTGACATAATAAACCATCAGTAATGGCAAAGATGCTATAGTTGGCAGAAGTAATTTATGTCGCCAACGAAGATCCAAAACATCATCGGCAAAGCCCAAGAGTAGCATGCAACATATGGATAATAATGCAGCCAAAAAATCAACAAACTGTAATAGAAAGCTTGCTCTTTACATTGGTTATAAATCTACATGTGTTTTAAAATTAAAATAACATAGAATATCATATTTTATATCTTATATTTTTAGATTAAATGTAAGTCATTTCCAAAGTTATCGATTAATCTTAGGAGGCTACTTTCCTTTTGGGAGACGATATAACATCGTTCTATTCTCCTTGGTATTCAATGAATAACAAAGATAAAACAATATTTATGTCAACAACTGTTTCCTAAAAGAAAAGTAGCCATATGCCCGTATTCATAGTTAGACCTTGTACTTAAGGCTTCCTTACATTTATCTTTAGATGCTCAATAGCCAATGAAATAATTCGTAAAGTATCTAAAGATAAATTTAAGGAAGCCTTAAATATAAGGCCTGACTATGAATACGGGCATTAGTTTAATTTTCTATAATCAGAATAAAAAAAAAAGGAAATTAGCTACACTTTCTGACTGACATCTGTACTATACCTCATTGTGTGGAAAGTTTATATTCCTAAACAGACAATCAGTAAATGGTATAGGAATAAATAGGAACATTGTTATAAGAAATACACATCCAGTGACAACACCTATCGCTTCCGGTCTGTAAAAATACAGTCAGTTGTGTGTCAAGCATTGTTATGTACAGAACGATCGATAGAAAAACATATGAAAACAATGAAATGTTTCATATTCAAACGAGCTTCTGGAAAAGCAAACTGATCAATTCCACGAGATAAAAACTGAAAAGAATTAAAGTTATGATTATGTGCTTCGATATTAAAATTAACAAATTTATATCGTGGAGTCGATCAGCTCGGTGAAGCTTAAACGGCGTTAGGTTCGGGTATCCTCACTCACATTTTCCCACTACACCTCTTGCTCATGTCGACACCGTAGAGGTTAGCTTGGACAAACATGGGTTTTATCTTCGGAATCAGGTGTACGGTCAAGCCGAACGCGCACACGGACATCATCGCGTTGACGTATATCGGGATTGACGACTTCAATATTTCGTCCTCGGTACTCATCGTTGAAACGTTGAATAACGAACGTTCGAACACCGGTCTCGGTTCTTGCGGAGCACTTGCGAGTTAACAACTCACGAGGGCGATAAGCGGCTGTGATAAACGGAAAAACCGGCGTCGCCTTCGTGTCGACTTCGACGCGTCAACGATATGCCAACAGTGCCATTGTAACATAATACATCAACACTGTACTGATTGAACAGTATGATATTTATCTCCTGGGCGCCGCCATATATATGCGTATCGATCATGATATCGATGATCTCGATATGTCTCGATGATCTTCTTTAATTGGCCTTCGATATATAACAACCTTTTTCCTCCAAAATCCAAACTTTCAGTGTAACCGCATAAAAAAAGTAAATGGAATAATTTAAATAAAATATTAAACTTGGCAGAAATTTCGAAAAATTAAAGATGATGCAATATTTGGATCGAGGTAAGAACACGTTCATTTTGGCCACCACAGACATCATACGAGACTGCCTCTAAAATCGATAAGTCGCCAGAGAAAAATAATGAAAATATTGAAGAAAAATATCCGAGGGAAAATAACGAAAATAAATATTATCGAAATGAAATTTAATATAAATAAATAAAGATCTGTACTTCTTTCTCTCTGAATTTGTATATCGTTTCTTTTTTTAATTATTATTTTATCACGTTTAATTGTCTTGTTAATATCCTTCAGCAGAATCTTGTTTCGTTTATTAGAATTTTTTTCATAAAAAAGAATATATATTTAATATATTATAATATCGCGTTTAAGTGACATTATATGATATTTTATTTCATATTATTTCATATTATTAATATAATATTTTATATTAAAATTACTTTAAAATTATATTTATATTTAAAAAATAATAATTACGATGTATTATTCGATATTCCTGAATAATATACTCTTACATTTCTTTGACCTTTCATCCTAAATGTTAAAAAAAAACATTAGTTATGTCAAGTAGTTGAGCGCTGTGCTGCGCTACGCGCGATGTCATCAAGTTTTCATCGTGGTGTATAAATCTTGTTGCGCATCGTTGCGTTATTCACGAGGCAGTATATGAGATTTCTGCTTGTGTCTCACTTGGCATTTCAAGATCCTCGGGCAGGCTGCGTAACGAATTCGCAGCCATTCGAAGCAAACGTTGAAATTGCTCCGAAACTCGACTCGAGCGCATAACCTCCTCCTCTCAAACGGTCGTCCACAACATGCTCCGTTTTTGATAGCCAAATCACAAAAGTGCGTCACGATTAATCGTGAGGCCTAGCGTAGCCCGTTTAACGCGCTCAGAACTTTCAGATTTGGTGAGTAAGAAATTTTCATTATCAGAAAATGTACGCATGATTCAGAGTCCAATAATCGGTTTTGTTTTTCAGTCGATGGACTACGAGAAACAAAAGGACGAGGTCACCGCGTTGGAAAGCATTTACACTGAAGAAGAATTCTCGTATCACGAGGAGAACGGCCGATTCGAATGCACCTTTAAAATATTTGTAAATCTGCCAGCAAAATGTCATTTGTTATACAAGGATCTGAGACACGAGGCGGACTTGGCACAGGAAGTACAGATATCATATCTACCACCCTTGACATTGCACGTCACACTGCCGGAGGATTATCCATCCATATCGGCACCTACGTTTATGTTATGCTCCTCTTGGTTGTATCCAGTAGTATTGTCTAAGTTATGCAGAAAGCTAGACACATTATGGGAGAACAACAAGCAGGAGATCTTGTTCACGTGGGTGGAGTTCCTTCAGGATAAAACGCTTAGCTATTTAAAGATAAAGGACCGTATAGATATGGATTGCATGTACACGTCTTACAAGAGAACAGTGGAAAAATTACAAGGCTCGCAGACAAACAAGGAAGTAAGTGAGCCTAACAAGCAATCTAATAGTGAAATCAACAGAGATAGTGGCGTGTCTAAAAAAACCAGTGTCATCGACAAAAGAGCTATTTTAGACTGTCCGATCGGTAGGAACCCTATCCAGACGTTGATCGATTATAATGAGAAACGAAAGCAAATTGAATTCAAAAAGAATTTTTACACGTGTAATATCTGCTTCACCGACAAATCAGGGGAGCATTGCACACAGTTTTTGCCTTGTGCTCATACTTTCTGTAAAGATTGTATTAGGGGTTATTTTGAAGTAAAGATCAAAGATGGAAATGTACAGAATATTTGTTGTCCTGAAGAGAAGTGCAAGTTTGAGGCTACGCCCGGCCAGGTAACTATCTCGTGTCATTTTATGTTAATTATATTGTATTTATATTATATATTCATATTGCATTTATATTGAGTATTCTACTGATTTTATTGTGTACTTGTGATAATTGATTTTATCGCAGGTAAAAGATTTGGTAAATTCGGAGTTATTCTCAAAGTACGATTCCTTATTGTTAAGTACTACGTTAGATACTATGATGGATATAGTTTATTGTCCAAGACGACACTGTCAGTATCCAGTCACTCGCGATCCTGATGATAACATGGCGAGATGTCCCGTTTGTCAATATGCATTCTGTATTCGTTGTAAAATGGTTTATCATGGAATAGAACCCTGCAAAATTAGTTCAGGTATGCGCCTAAATCCTGTGGATGTTTGCATTTTACATATGGAGGGGTGAGAGCTATAGTGATATAAGTCATTTAATTATGCTTTCGACAAATAAGTTTTTTTTAACATATTTGCTTCAGTAGATTACATCAATGACTTCAAACTAATAAGTTTACAAAAGTGATACACCACTATCGTTTTCACCACTATAATATATAACAAACTTTTATATCGTTTAGTTCCAAACATAAAATTTCATTAGAATTTATATTTCATGTAATATACATTGTGTTGATTTTGTTAATAGCTGAGAAACAACGATTATTGAAAGAATATCAATCAGCCAGTAATGAGAAGAAGGCCGAAATGGAAAAGCATTATGGCAAGAGACAGCTTCAAACGATGTTAGAGAATACAATGTCTGAAAATTGGATTAATGATAATAGTCACAATTGCCCTCATTGTAAAACTGCAATCGAGGTACAAAATCAAATTTGTTTCATAGATACAAGATTATTCTTGTTATCGGTGATTAACACGTATGTCGGCGAATTGTTTCAGAAATCGGATGGTTGTAACAAAATGACTTGCTCGCACTGTGGCACGTATTTCTGTTGGCTGTGCGGCACGCGACTGAATCCCGAGGCGCCTTACTTACATTTTCGAAATCCGGACTCCAAATGTTTCAATATGTTATATCGCGGTATGATACCCGACGAACTGGACGACGATGACGATTTTGATTTTCACGCCGAATATCTGGATTATTATTCAGAGGACGAAGAATTTAATTATGATGAAGATTTCGTTTTGGAATATGATGATTGAATTAATATTGCTAAATTATAAATTTGATTTTCA